CTGGGCATGGAGCCTGCTTGGGATTCTTTCCCTCCCACTCCCTCGCCCCTCTCCCCCTCTCAAAAAAAACACAAAAAACAAAAAACAAAAACCCCTCAAATCAATGACCTCAGCTTCTACCTTAAGAAACTAAAAAAAGTAAAACAATGGATCGTGGATCATCACATCAAAAATTAATGATGTATTGTATGCTGACTAACATAACATAATAAAATTAAAAAAAAAAAAAAGCTAATTAAATCCAAGCCAGAAGTAAGGAAATAATAAAGATCAGATTGGAAACTAATGAATTGGGGTTTGGGGGACATTTTTAAAATTTTGGTAAAATACACATAACATAAAATTTATCATTTTAACCATTAGGAAGAATGAGCTGGTTCTTTGATAAACCTCTATCCAAACTGATCATGAAAAAGGAAAAAGGCACAAAATATCAATAACGGGAATAAGATGATATTACCACAGGTTTTACAGACTTTAGAAGGATAATAAGGGAATATTATGAATAACTTTATTTGACAACTTAGATGAAGCAGACAAGTTCACCGAAACACACAAAGTACCAAAGCTTACTTAAGAAGAAATAGATAACCTGAGCAACCCTATATCTATTTTAAAAAACTGAATTTTAGTTAATTTCCACCTACTCCCCAAAGCAAATCTAACAAAAAAACCCTTCAGGCCCAGATGACTTAACTTGTGAATTTTACCCAACTTTTAAAGAAGAAACAATTTTAATTCTATACAAACTCTTCCAGATGATTGAAAAAGAAGGAGTACTTCCCAACTAATTCGAAGAGGCCAACATTACTTTGATACCAAAACCAGATGAAGACATTATAAGAAAACAACAGGCCAATATCCCTCATGAACAGAGATGCAAAAATTTTACACAAGATTTTTATTTTAGAAAAATTTTAATTTTATATACTGCTGAATTCAACAATACATAAAAAGGATGATATATCACAACCAAGTGGAGTTTATCCAAGGAACGCAAGCCTGGTTTCATAATTGAATATCAAAACACAGAATAAAACCTTACAACAAACTAAGAATACATAAGAACTTCCTCAATCTGTGGGGCGCCTGGGTGGCTCAGACAGTTAAGCATCTGACTCTTGATTTTGGCTCGGGTCCTGGGATCAAGCCTGCAAGGGGCTCTGTGCTCAGGTCCTCTGCTCCTCCCTAACCCCCAGCTTGTGCTCTCTCAAATAAATAAATAAAATCTTAAAAAAAAGGACTTCCTCAATCTGATAAAGGGTATCTATGAAAAACCTACAGCTAACACCATACTTAATGGTGAAAGACTGAATCCTTTCCCCAAGATCAGGAAAAATAGAATGGTTTCTACTGTCACCACTCCTATTCAACATTATCCTGAAGGTCCAAGCTGATGTAATAGGACAAGTAAGAGAAATAAAAGACACACAGATTAGAAAAGAAGAAATAAATCTGTATTTACAGATGGCATGATTGTCTGTGTAGAAAATCCCAAAGAACCTACAAAATAGTTACTAGACTAATAAAGTCAAAAGACAAAAGTTAATATACAAAAATCAACTGTATTTCTGTAAACCAGCAATGAACAACTGGATAAACAATTTGGCAGTTTCTTATAAAGTTAAACATACACTTACCATATGACCTAGCAATCTACTCCTAGATATTTACCCAAGTGAAATGTTTACCTATGTTTACACAGAAACCTGTATATAAATGTTTTTATAGCAACTTTATTCATAATCACCAAAAACTGGAAAAAAGGGGCGCCTGGGTGGCTTAGTTGGTTAAGCATCTGCCTTCCGCTAGGTTCATGATCTCAGGGTCCTGGGATGGAGCCCTGCATCGGGCTCTCTGCTCAGTGGGGAGTCTGCTTTTCCCTCTCCCTCTGTGTTCTCTCTCTCTCAAATAAATAAATAAAATATAAAAAAAATTAAAAAAAAAACTGGAAAAAACCTCCAAGATATCCTTTAATAGGCGAATCGATAAACTCTGGGATATCCATACAATGGAATACAACTCAGCAAAAAAAAAAAAAGGCAGAAACTACTGATTCATGCAACAACATTTATAAATAAGTCTCCAATGCATTATGCTAAGTGAAAGAAGTCATGCTATATGTTTCTTTTTTTATATGTTTCTGTTTATATGACACTGATGCAAAGGGAAAACAATTATGACAGAATATACATCAGTGTTTGCCAATGGCTAGGGTTGTGGGAGGAGTTGACCATAAATAGGTAGAGAGGAATTAGGGAGGACAATAAAACTATCCTATATCTCGCTTGTGATGGTGGTTCTACAACTGTATGTGTTGTCAAAACTCTCAGAATTGTATACTACAAAAGGTAAATCTTACAGTATGTCAGATATGCCTTAATAA